CCAGAGGCTGCAGCCATAGAACTGGTCCTGGGGCTACGAAGCCCCATGCAGCTGTTTGCAGCCTCCTGGATGCAGCTGGCCTGGGCTCCGAGAAGCTGCTGGCATGCTGAGCAAAAATGACCTTGCGTGCCACGCTCTGGCATGCATGCTGTGGGTTGCTGATCCCTAATCTGGATCCTTACCTTCAGTTTTTACTTAAACCAGTGAATTCCAAACATTAATTTTGGTTGTAGGCTTAAACTCTTGTTGGATTACACTTTCCAAGTAGGTTAAATCTAGATTTTTTTTGTGTCGTTTAAACAGGGCAGCTGACCATACGGCCGAATACTATTTAAAAGAAATAGCGGCCAAAGTAATGTTTTTCTTCTGAACAGTGCAGCGATGAGTGAGACTGAAGCAGGCAGTATTAGAGATGGCAAAGGAGGGATCTTCAGTAAATCCAAAGAACAGCTATTAAAAAAAAAAAGTCAAAATATCATTAACCTTTTCTCCAGTTTCAAATTCCTTCTGCCTCATCAAGACATTAATACATAACTCAAAATATTGAAAAAAATTAGACTTACCTTATTTTACAAGAAAAACCATACTGGACAAGCAGAACAGAGAAAAAACCTACTTAAAACATTTAGCAATATACATACCACAGGAGTGGTGGTAATTAGAGACAAATGCAACCACCTATTTTGACACTTATTCAGCTAGTCAGACACAGAGAGGCAATGCTCAGCATTTTGACATTTAAAAAATATTTGTAGCAATCGGTATTGGACAGCTATTTATCTGATAAAGTTTCAGGCCGGACTTCTACCCCAGAGAGATGCTGAATGTCAAAAGTATCATTTGGGGAGAGGCAGACAGCTGATGAAATCAAACAATGGCACCTGCAACAACGTATCACCATCTTTATTGAAAACAGATGCAATGTTTTGCTTCTCCCTCCACCCCTTGTTTGAATATCAGTGTCGTACACCGAGCCTGCTATACACACACAAACGGATGAAGCTGTTGAAATGAGATGTTTGTAGAGATTTGGTATGCTCATTTCCCCTGCTGTATATATACCATATACACAGATGCAAAGGGGCCAAGTGTTATCAGTTTCCTTGTTTTTCAACAGGGTGCATTTCTTAAACAAGGTTCCCAAACTAGTTCCCATAAAGATGGACTTAAGAAAAGGAGAAACTCATACTAAGCTATCCACGGGAGCAGATGTGCATTGTATTAGTGTCCCCCAAGTTAGAATGTTTCTCATGAAGTGACGCTGCCAGTGTCCCACCTCTTTTACCTTTACGTACGACGTTCACAACATTTACAGGCTCCCAATAGCATACATGCCATGTCACATGCAATTATTCCCCCCCAACCCTGCTGAGTGTTAGAGGCACTGTGCTCCTCACTGGAGACATTCAACATCCAACAGCACCAGGCTCTTCAATTCCAGGCGTCCAGACATTCACCACGTGCCATTTGAGAGGAAGTGTGTCTTTAGCCATGAGCCTTTACTGCCCACAGATGTTGTTAAAGCGCTTGCATAAAGAGCAACACATTTGAAGCACAGAATTCGTATATGTTGAATATATTCCATATTTGTGTGATAGCCTATTTTTTAAAGATTCTTTTGCTTTCAGAGCAAAACGGATCCAATTACAGTCGGATGCATTTATGATTTTAGCGCAGAGGTTGCCCAAACCCATTTTCTTTAGAAAATGTGAATGAAACCCATTCTGGCTAAGTACTAAGTCCGGTGAAAGGCTGGATTTATTTTTAAACACACAGTTCAATTTCAACCAAAGTGCAAAGTGGCACCAAAAAACTCCCCAAATTCCCATGCTTCTAAAGCAAGGTTTTTTTTTTAAAAAGATCTTTCAAAAACAGGACACAATTGACCTGAAGATTTAATATAAAATTGAAGATTAAATATCAGAGAACAGTGTTGTTATAGTTAGGGCCAATACACTTGCTGTATCACCCAAGAACCAACGCTAAGTACCCATGCTTTTAATCTACAGCTCCTACCTGGCGGTTGCACCATCATACAGTTCAGCAACTGTCCTCCCAATTTTCACTCAATGCAAGGTAATCCCTGATAAACAAAATACAACATAAAAGAACAAGCAACATTTGCACAAGGCTTCTCTTTATAAGACTAGACAGAAGCAAGCTGTACTTAGATTAAAGCATGAAAAAATATTTTCAACAAGCAAAAACCATGCCATTATTTCTTTAGGACAGTGGTTCCCAACCTTTTCAGGATCAGGACACCCCCAGCACCATTTTTTTGAAAGCAGCAGCACCCCTGGCTGAGAGCCACTGTTGGTGCTCCCTCAGTGGCGCTCACCCGAGTTCTGCTGCCAGGAGGTGCCGCGCAACTGGGAGGAAACTTCCCTGTGCTGCCAAGTGAGCCAGAGAGGGGCCGTGCCACAGCTTGCACTCCTCCTGCATTAGGCCTCTGTTCAGCTCAAAGCAAGCAGGAGCTACCTTGGGCTGTGTGGCTCTTTCTGGTCAAGGCTCCCCAGTGCTCCTCCCAGAAACAGAAGGGAATGGGAGAGTTCTACCTGCACCTGTTCGTGGGAGGGGTACTGGAGGGGAAGGGACCAGAAAAAGCTGCACAGTGGAAGGCAGATTTGCTGCCTGCTTAAAGCTGATTGGAGCCCTAATGCAGGGGTGGTATGCCGGGCAGCTTTATCTGGCTATTGCCACTGCAGCATCCCCAAGGGGCCTCACAGCGCACCACTTGAGAACCACTGCTCTAAGACAGGAACCAGGAAGCCCCGTTTCCTTACAGATTGCCTGCCTGTGCTCTTTGCCTTCCATTATCTTTTCCTGACAACTGACGCAGAGGTTGAATCACTCTACTGTGGAGCTGACTAATTAGTTCCACACTAAAGCACCACTGTTTACATGTGCACTGGTATTAGGGAGCAGTAAATTAACTCCACCATGATATAGTACTGTTGAGGACAGTACTACCTTACGGTGGAGTCATTTACTGTGCAGAAACGCATGTGTGGGCAGTGTCAGAATTGGCAGAGGCAGCACCACCCACTTCTCAAGCTGAGATGCCTCTTTAAAGAGGTACAATTTGTGCTCTTCCTCATGCAAGCCAAAAAGGACTAAATGGCAGTGCAAAAAGGACAGCCGTGACCGTCCTAGATTCTCCCCCGCAGAGTTTGTAGTGATCATAGTATGGATGCCTTCCTCAACCCCCGCCTTCTGTTTGTTCTAAATTAGGTCTTATGATCCAGTGGGAATTAATGATCAGGATATCTTGGGGGAGAGTTCAGTACTACCTTAAAGTCTGCAAACTGTCAGAAAGGCCTGTGCTTGTGCAGAGATCCATTAGAGAGACAAATAAGTTGCACCAGGGAAAAGAACAGAAGTCATTATGAATTTATTTACACAACTGTTTAAGTACACAAATACAGTGGTAGTACAAATGAGGTGTTCTGAGATATTGGTAACCAATACACAGGTTGAGAGAGACAGTTTAACTATAATCTGCAGGTGATGGGATTTAACGATCATGAAAGGGCAAGACTGCCCACAACCAGGTACATTTCTAGAAATTTGCAGTCACCTTTTAAGTATAGTACAGCAATTTAAGTGTTCCAGATACAGAGGGAAGGAAGAGGCTGCCTTTGTAAGTGTCTCTAACATTACATCATTAACCACAGATATTTACAAAGAAAGCACAGTGAAGTGTAGAACTGTACAAATGGTAGTGCACATGCCTACAGTACTCAAGTTACAGTAAAATGAGGAATGGATTGTTATGCAAAAATATCCACGGACCAAACCAATTTTTCCATTGCACTCCCCCAGTCACAGGATTCCCCCAGTATAGATCTAGAGTACACAAGCAGTTAAATAATGGTCTGAAATACCCAAAGAAAAAAGTGACTGACATTTAGCAGATGAATTTCTGGACAGGAAAAGGAGTTTGCAAAAAATTCTGGATCGATACAAAGATATTCCTAACAAAAACTGAGGGTCTTGGAAGCCATAAATTGATTAGTTTGCAACCGGCTTCCAAGTAGGATGCAATTTGATTTGTTGGTTTAAGCCAAAAAAAGCCAAACCCCCTCCACACACAAATGTATTTTACCTTTGTTACAAAGATGGTAACTGACATTATTTTGCTCGAATGATGCTACTAATACTTCTACTACCATTCCGATTACTGTAAGGGAGAAACATATATTACTTTATGAAAATGTTCTACATTAAAAAACACAAGGATTTTTCCATATTCCTTAAAAGACATTTGCCAAAAGCACTTTATGTGCTTAGATTCACACAAAAACGGTCATAAAATAAACTGTTTCCAGCTAAAGACTAGTGATTCCAGATATACCCAAATTACTCTAATATTAAAGAATTAAATACACACCCTAGTGTACTCAATCAGAATTTCACAGAAGGAGCATGCATTTATTTTTGTGTCTTGGCATTAAACAGGAGACTAGAATCACTTAAAAAAATAAGGGAAAAAAAAAGTATATGGATGCGCTGAAGCAAATGTTGTGCAAATTCACTCAAACTGCAATGACAACATTCATTTTCTTTTACAACTCTCTCCAACTCAACCTCTCTCTCTCAAAAAACAAAACAAACAACCCCCCCTCAAAAACCCCCACCCTAGATATTACCAAGAAGAAAGATGCACAACCCTCCCTCTCAAATAGAAGAGAGATGTGCCATGCTTTCAATGTTAAAGCTCCAAATTCTCCTTAAATATCAGAGCTCTTCACTCTCTTTATTCTTCATATTCTTCAGGGAAAAGTTACTACCACCACCTGTGCTGGAACTAGACACATATAATGTATGCTGCTCTCACTAATTATAGGATAGAAGAATAAAACTCAAAATTGCTTCTGTGCTTCATGGAGAATAAATTTGAAAAGGTGGAAGAAAAAGCAAAATAATGTGTATTAAAAAATCAAACAAACAAAAAACAGGAGAAAACCCGCAGCATGGGCCCATAAAAAATAAGTAAACAGTTTAAATAAAATCAGATGGCTTTAATTCATTTACATGTTCCCTGCCAGACTAAATTTTACAAGAAACTTCAAGTCATCATCTTGAATTCAGGATGGTTTATATTCTACATTTTTAAATCAGACAAAAGCAAGACAGAATTCTTTACAGAGAATTAAGCCAATAATTTTAGCAAAATGATACAAAAAATTCTCTTAAACTAAGTAAAAGTTTTATAGTTACAGTAGAATAATAAAAAGGGGTAAAGTCTGCCGCCTGTGGAGGGAGAACTGAAATGGCTATTCAATAACAGGCGGTTAACTCTGTAAACCATCTCTTCCTTTTCCAGCCCTGTTGCCACAGAGTTCACTTAAGGTCACTGGGTTTCTGGCAAAAGCGTCCTGTAATGGCAGCTGCTGGAGTCTCTGTCCATGTTCTTGTGAGTATCTTTTTGTAAGTGGCATGGAGAACTCCAACTGTAATGTTTCTGCTCTAGTTTGGGGTATTTTTGCTAGTAAAGCCATTGGTAATACAGGAGATCAGCCATGCATTATCTGCCCTCCATGGCAAAGTAATTTTCATCGGTGCACAGCAGACTGGAGAACACTGGGAGTCGCCCGAGCAGGAATCTATCAGAGCCAAAAAAAACAGGATAATGTCAGCACAAGTCTTTTGATTTGCATGTAGATGGCTCTCCGGACAGCGTCTACCACTTGTAATGGCATTAGGGCATAAGACCATTTTAGAAGATTATTATTCCATTTCAGAATCTGTAGACCAATGGATATGTTGTTTTTCACACCCACCTGTATCTACAGGAAGTTATCTGCACTTTACCTGTGTATTAAAGGTTTTAAACAGGAAATGCACCATTTCAGTAAGGAAAGAGTTTGAAGAACAAGTCCATCAGAGCAAAAACATGCACACAAAGAAAGGGATAAATCAGATTAAACCTCAGCTAAGCTCAAAAGAAAGAAAAAAAAAAAAAGAAAAAGAAAGAAGCGATAGGAAATCAAAGTTAAAAAAATCCCAAGATGAATGATAAGTTTAACAATTCCTTCAAAAACAAAACAACAATCAATCCAAAACGAACAAACAAGATCCCCTCAGAGCTGGCCGGTAATGGTGAGGGCATATTAATGACACTTCACATGATCATTTCCATAGCTGAAGCTTGCCTCAAGTAACATGCTGCCCAAGGAAAGTGAGACACCCAGCAGAAGTTTCAGTTTGAGTGGCAGCAAAGGTCAAAGCAGCCAAGTCACTGTTTATCTGAGTCTTGAAGTCTCTAAGCAGCTACATGGTTTTTTGGCATGTCACAAAGGTCAATTACAACAGACAAGATCTTGATCACACTTGATTCTTCAGGCCTTACTCATGCAAACCTTCCACTGATTTCAATGGGAGTTTTGTTTGCGTGAGGCCTGATAATTGACTGTAGGGTCTCATTTACAGATAGCTTTGGATCTTACAAGCATCACACAAGAAAGAAGCAGCTTGTGGAGTCAGCCAAGCACACAAAACAGGAGGAAATTAATTTAAATAAGAGGAGTTAGAGCAGGATTCTACACCCACTGAAGATGTAGGGTTAGTGCAAGCTGGAGTTTTACAGAGAAAGTGAAGCAGCAGTGTTACTTTGCATTTTCACAAGGAACAGAAAAGTCCAGTCTTACTAATATAAAGCAAAGCAAAGAAGCTCCAAAAATAGTAAGAAACAGTGTTCTTCAATGCAGCAAGGTTCAAATAATGACCTGAACTTATTGCTGCCCAGATGTTTGAGCCAAAACAGAAATGGCTCAAAAGCTTGAAAACTGCACACAAAGGCCGAAATGACTTCTTCATGAATCACAGCCAAAGAATTTGGGTATCCAAGTCCCATTCTGCCCACCTCCAAGATGCTCACGTGCCACCTACACCAAAGCAAAGCTTATCTGAAAATGTTTTTTTATTCTCTGGCAGGTCATGAGGGTTGGGAAGAGAATTTAAAAACACCGAGAAACGACAACCGCTTTAATAGTTTTTTCAACTCATGCAAAAAGAGAGCATCACTTCAGTAAAGCAGTTAATTTGCTCATCATAAATCATTAAGCTGCAAATTATAAAAATGAGTAATGTAATATTGAATAGATATCAGACTGGGAGCATTTCTGTGGAATGAGAAGTGGTTCTAGGAGAGATTTGATTCAGGGTTGCTTATATGGTTATTTTTATTCAACTAAATCATCCCCAAATCATACTTTGCAGGTAACTCCACTAAAGAACCTAAGCAGAACAGTAGTCACTAATTCATCCCTCAGAAAGATGGATACTTTTACATTCAGAAGAAAGCATAATGCCACATCAAGTACCTGGCATCTGTAGGACGCAGATAAAGTCTAGGATTCTACAGAAGCAGCAGCCAATCTAATGTTTCCACAGGTTTTAATCCCACCCCTCCAAAGACTCGGTGTCTAATGAGAAGGGACTCACCCAGTGCTGCCTTCCAAGGAGGAGACGAGCAGCTACTTGCCATGGTGTTCGAAGGGAATGCTATTCTGAGATGGGGGGGAAAAGACAGCCATTTGTAACAGTTCCACTGTCCAAATAGATAAAGATGTCTAAAAAGCCAACCTAAATTTGCAGTTGCAGCTACATACTTTTGAAGGTCCTTCGTTTCAGATCAATATAAGAAGTTTCTGTAGTAACGGATATTTTAAAAGGAACAAAAAAAGCTCTTTAGAGAAAGCTGGTAAATTTCTGGGGTTGAAGAGCTACACAGAATATGATCTCTATGAAGATTAATGCATGAATAAAGGTTTGTTTCATAGTAGCTAGGGTCAGGAGGGACCTGAACAGATCATCTAGCCTGACCCCCTGCCACAGGCAGGAATGAATGCTGGGTTCACAAGACCCCAGCCAGGTGATCATCCAACCTCCTCTTGAATTTGCCCAAGGTAGGGGCGAGGACCACTTCCCTGGGAAGTTGGTTCCAGATTTTGGCCACCCTAACTGTAAAATATTGCCTTCTGATCTCTAGTTCATCAGGAGATGAAGAAAAAAATATTTCGAAAGTACTTTTGTTCCAGCTTCTGTCTTATCCTGGGAGAGCGGTACATTGCTTAGACCCTTTGCCACCAGTACTGGCCATTTTCCTTTGACAAAAAGACTTAGTCCCCTACTCCCATGTACAGTATAACAGTGCATCTGAATGCTTTTCCTTCCAACCAAGGAGAGAAATTTCAATCTACATTTGTATTAACAGGAGTAGTATATGTGCTAGACCCTACAAGGTGCTGAGTACTTTGTATCTAAGGTGCTTTAAAAAAAAATTGCTAACTTGAAAGCATGAGTTGTTCCATTTAAGTAGTTTCTGTGAAAGCCCTAAATGAAGGTTACTCACCTGCAACCAGAGTTCAAGATAATCTCTGCACTTTCATATTCATGTGTTGATTGTGCAAGCTGAACAGGGTAAACCTTTCAGAAATAGTGCCCACTAGGGTGTTTATATCTCCCCTGTTGCTCCTCCACACACTGGAGGGCCTGGTCATAGGAGGAGCCATAGCACACTGACTGCTTAAGATCCACTGGCACTTCAGGTCCAACATTCATAAATGTATTCTCAGATTTTAAAGCAGAAGTGGCCATTATCTTATGTAGCCTAACCTCCTGCCCAACACAGGCCATGAAAATGTCACCCCATTGCCACTGAGTCCACTAATCTGCCTTTGATTAAAGCAGAAGATCTAGAGAGGCATCTAGCCCTGAGCTGAGGACATCAAGAAATGGAAAATCCCTTTGTAGTTGCTTCCAGTGGCTATTCACTTTCACTTAAATTGTGCCTTTGTCTATATTGAAGTTGTTTGGCTTTAACCTTTTAGCCACTAGTTCTTGTTATGCTGTTATCTGCTGGATTTAAGAGCCCGTTACGCGCCCTATATTTTCTCCCTGACGACACTGACACGCTCACGCATCAAAAATCTAGAGATGATTTATTAGACTGAGCTCCAGGTTCTGGCAGTGTATGGTGTATTTGCCAACCTGCAATCTCTGCCCCACCATCTAGTTTTCAACATTATGAAGAGCTGCCACCACAACTGGATGCAGTATTTCCTCAGTGCCCCAATACCATATACAGAGAGGAAAACTGCCTCCCTTCTATGTACTGTACACAACCTAGGATAGAATTAGTCTTTTTGCGCCATGGCATCCCATGGAAAGCCATGTGAATATCAGCTGCACCCTTTGTCCCTGGATGTCTGACTTTGCATTTGGTTGGTTTTATTCACATACACGTGCACAAATGGACTGAGCTTAACAAGAAATCAAACCTGCTCTGCTGTGTATGGATGCCTGGTCCTCAACAATATTTACTAATGTGAAGATTTTTACATTTACTCTTTTATCATAAACATACATACCAGACAGCTTCTGGCTCAAACCCAGTCTCTGCCTACCTCCACTAAACACCCCCCCATTTGATGACTTCCCATTGACGAGTACGTAGAGAGCTGAAATTAGCCAGCTCTGAAGTAATACAACATGAGCTCAACTGACGCACAGTGTTAGGCGACGTTTACTCACGAGAATGCCATGCAGGACTATGCCAAATGTCTTAAAATGCCAGGTATCTTTGTCAACTACATTTGTTTCCTCAAGGAATAAAACAAAATTTATTTGAGAAAACTTCTCTCTCTGTAAAGCTATGTTAACTTGTAGTGCTTGTATTCCCATTGTTTATTCACGGAAATCTGCACACTTTCCACAGACATCGGATGAGGTTAGAGGAAGAAGGTGGGCAGTAAGTGTGACTGTGCAGAGGTCATCTTTAGGAATTCTGGTTACAGATGGCCTTTGCACATTCCTACCCATGGGAGTTCAAAAACCAGCACCCCTCCCTCCGGAAGGTGCACAGAGGAGGACTGCACTACTGCTTTCCCAAACTGAACAAGTGGTCAGACCTAAAGAACAGTGTTCTGTGAAAATGTGAACTGAGCTCCAAGTGACAGATCTAGAGATCTCACAAGTGTGCTCCAAGCCCTTCTGGAGAAGGGACCAGAAGGGTATACAAAGCATTCAGAAAGCATTCTTTAGTTCTTCCACTGATAAGGGACAAATCCAATAGTTTCCTACATCCCTTAAGCCTACTGAAAACAGGCTTGGGTAACATTCTTAGCATCAAAATTAACACACAGATTACTGTGCGCCCCCCCCGCTCCAAAGTGAAATCAAAACTCAAAATTAAAATCCTGGCAATGTTATGGATTGTCAATATGGAATCCTGTAAGCCTCTTGCCAAAAAATATTATGTGAAAGGATGAAGAACCACTTTATCCTTACGAGAGACAATTACAAAACAGCTGTCTGAACAGAAGGGAAAAACACTGAAACATTCTCTGATGGGTTCAAACAGGTGCTCCGCGATCTGAGGCTCCAGATAGGAAAAGATTCTCGGACTGGAGAGAAGTTCTTTATTCCCTCCAGGAATCTTTTATACAATTGTTGGATACAGACCAACTAGCACATAGGCAGAATTCATACAAACAGTGCCATGAGTGACACCTGCAAGTTATCCCAGGTACTACTGCTTTAGTTGATCCATTTGAAGAACTAAAAGATGCTCTTATGGAAAGGTTAGCAGCCAAGCGACCTT